GGTGATGAGATATTTTTCCCTTTGTATGTTTACTAAGAGCTGCTGCACCAGCCCTAAGCACTCTGGGCTGACATCTCGTTTTGTTCTCAGAACACCCTGAGGTAGTACTGTTGGTTCCCATTTCAATCTTCAAAAAAACAAAACAAAACACTCCCCCAGCACAAAACCCCAACAAATGTACTAAAAAAATAAATAAATAAATGGAGACACTCACCGTTTCTCTCAGTACTGCTAAGGGAACTAAATGCTATAATGAGCACGTAGAGCCTAGTACAGGACCTGGGTTCTTCCACAGGCTTCATCACCTTCTCTTGCAATACAATTCCAGAATGAAGAAGTCAAGAGAAAGGCTCCATCCTTTCCTTACCCACTTTAGGGGTGCAGGGGTCATGGAGCGGGCAGCACCCGGAACAGCAGCTCGGGCTGCTCCCTGGGCTGGCCTCACTGCACTCATCCCACCGTCCCCCACATGCAGAACAGGCCCAGGCCCTGCCCTCAAGGAGATCACAGGCCAGGGTGGGGAAGACCATCTCTAATCACAAAATACCCACTTATTAAATGCTTAAAACGGTGTTATGAAACCTCAAACATGGTGGGGGGGGCAGGCAAGGCTTCTCTGAGGAACTGATGTTTCAATGGGAACTGAAGGAAGAACAGGAGTTAATTGTGCGAGGAGGTTGGGGAGAGTGCTCTAGGCACGGGGCGGGGGGGGATGTGAAGGGGCTGGGGCATGGTGGCCCGTGGCCCAGGCATAGCAACTAAGGGGGAAGTGGTATGGAACAGGGTTGCAGGGGTTAGGCTTTAGGCCTCATCAAGGATTTTGTTCTTTATCCTAAGAGCACACAACATTCACTGGAGGGTCCTGAATATTTTTCAGATTAAAAAAATTTTTTAATTGTGGGAAAATACATATAAAATTTACCAACATAACCATTTGTTAAGTGTATAGCTCAGTGGTGTTAAGTATGCAGATTATTGCATAATCACCACCACCACCACCACCCATCTGAACTCTCCGTCTTACAAAACTGAAACTCTGTACCCAGTAAATAATAACGCCCCATTCTCCATTTCCCCAGCCCTGGCATCCACTATTTTACTTTCTATCTCTATGAATCTGACTACTATAGGTATCTCATCTAAGTGGAATCATAAAGTGTTTGTCTGCTTGTGAGTGGTTTATTTTGCTTAGCATAATGTCCTCAAGGTTATTCCATGTGGAAGCATATGTCCAGCTTTTCCTTCCTTTTTAAAGCTGAATAACTGTAGGTATAGACCACATGTATGTATACCACTGTACATATATACTACATTTTGTTTATCCATTCACCTGTTCTAGGTATTCATGGATACCTACATGGCTTCCACCTTCTGGCTATTGTGAATAATGCTTCTATAAATGTGAGTATACAAATATCTATTCTGGACCCTGCTTTCAATGCTATTGGGTATATGCCCAGAAGCACAATTCTTGGATCATATGGTAATTTAATTTTGTGAGGAACCACAACACTATTTTCCATAGTGGCTGCACCATTTTATATTTTCACCAACCGTGCACAAGGATTCCAATCTGTCCACATCCTGGACAACACCTGTTATTTTCTGTTTTTGTTTTTTTGATAGTAGCCATCCTAATGTATGTGAGGTGGTATCACTGAAGGATTTCAAGCCAGGGTTTTAACCATGACTACGTTTTAAAAAGGCTGGTCTGACTACTATGTGGGAAATCAACTGAAGGGTGGGGAGCTGGAGTAGAAGTAGGGATCTCCTCATATACAGACTGCATGGAAGAGGGGCAGAGACAAAGGGGTGGCCTCAATCATGGAGGCAGATGGTTTGCAAGTCTGAGAAGAGTGGAGTGGGTTCAAATGGTTATTCCTGATTAGATATAATAAAATGCAACAGGGTTTCTAGGCAGTTCTGACTGTGAATTTACACTGATGCCAGGCTTCCTCCAAAATCAAGGAGGTCATTGAGGATGGCAAAAAAGTCTTACAATGGAATAAAATGGGAATAATTGAGCCTAACCATGTAACAATTTCATTACACTTGTGGAAAAAGAAGCATTCACCTAAGTACCCTCTGAACATAATACCCTGACTATATACATCCTCAGTGGGACACAGCTGAACAAAAAGAATTGGAAAGAAATTGTATGTGAAACTTTATTTGTTTGATTTATTCTTCATTGATACTGATGTAGCAGGTCAGAAACTATGTGTGTATTTTAGGATCAAATGAGTAGATATGTTGAAGAGAGCTAAAGTACAGAATAAAAGAGTAAGAATCCCATGGTGTTAGATTAAAAACGAAAGCATCAGTTTAAAATGTAAGAAAAGACTTTAAGGAAAGATTCTAAGCTCTATTCACTCACTGAAAGGGCCTAGAAGCAATGGCATCCTTGGTATTAATGAGCACATTCAGGGCCCAGATTTTGTTTTTTAAATATGATTCCCCACTAACAGAAATCATGGCTCCTTAGAAAACCAGCTGACTTCAAGGCAGGGGCAAAAAAAGTACAAGGTGAGGCTAGAACATCTTACTGTGTTAGAACGTTATGAAACACTCTACAAATGATGGGGACATGTCAAAAGGACAAAGGAGGCAGCCTAAAAGGGTTCCCACTGGTCAACTGTGGAACAACTTAAGCATCCAAAGAACAACAGAAACGGACCATAACTTAGGATACAAAAGAATCTTTAAGTCTACACTGGTATTTTAAAAAATAAAGGGGACAGGAAGAATAGAAAACTCTTTTTTTGTAAAAAAATGTTCATAAATGTAGAAAGAATGATTAAGATAGAAAGTTACTGTCTTACATTCATCTCTGTAATAACAGACTCAGGCGAGAATCATCGATAGATGCCAAGACTACTGGATGAAAGACTGCTAGAAGTCTCATGAGTCTCAGAGTACTCATGGTCTGCTGGTATAATCCCACAGATCACTTATTAAACACAAAGGAAAACAGATGCCCTTACTAGAGAGAAAGCTGGCAGACACCACCAAGTGATCAAACTGAACACAGTCAACGAGACAGACATCTGCACCTGATGTGAGACACTGAGGAGAACACAGCCTCACCTATGTAATGCTCTTGTCAAAAATGTTCAGTCTGAATCAAATGATGAGCAAATAACCTAATAAATCTGATCACTAGGAAACAATCTGAACATTCTACATGATAACTGACCTTCAAAAACACCAAAGCTGTGGAAAACAAACATCTAGGAAACTGTTCTGGATTAAATGGAATTAAAGAGCCATGAAAATAAATGCGATATGGGATCTTTGGTTGGGTAAGAAAGAACCTGCAAACGAAAAACCAAAACACTAGCTAAAAAGGACACTCCAGGATGACTGCAGAAATATCAACATAAACTGTGTATTAAATGATACTCCTGCATCTGCGCTACATTTCCCGAGTGTGAGAACTATGTTAAGGTTATATAGGAGGATGCCCTCATATGAACAAGGAGATACTGCTGAAATATTTAGAGGTGAAGATTCACAAAGTCTGGAGATAATTCTCAGGTGGTACAAAAACAGAATAGACACAGAAAAATTAAGCAAATGTGGCAAAATGTTAAAAAGTGGTAAACCTAAGTGATAGGTATATGGGTATTCACCTCATATTTTTTGCAAACCATCTTCTCTGTGGGGTAGCAAATTTCAAAATAAAGTCAAGAGAATGAGAAAATAAGCCAGACTGGGAGAAAATCCTTGCAAAACACATATGATAAAAGATTGTTACCCAAAATATACAGAGAACTCTTAAAACTCAACAGTAAGAGAACAAACCAACCATGGGCCAGAGACCTTAACAAACACCTCATCTAAGAAGATATGCAGATGGAAAATAAGCATATGAAAAGATGCTCCAGTTGTATGTCATTTGGGAACTGTAAATTAAAACAAGATACTACTACACCCTTATCAGAATGACCAAATCTGAAAAACTAACACCACCAAATGCTGACAAGGATGTGGAGCAACAGGAACTCTCATACATTGCTGGTGGGAATGTAAAATCGTGCTGCCACTATGGAAGACAGTATGGCAGGTTCTTCCAAACATAAACATACTTGAGGCTCCTGGGTGGCTCAGTTGGTTAAGTGTCTGCCTTCAGCTCAGGTCATGATCCGAGAGTCCTGGGATTAAGCCGGCATCGTTTTGGTCTTCCTGCTCAGTGGGGAGCCTGCTTCTCCCTCTCCATCTGGCCCCCACCCCCGCCCCGTGCTCTCTTGCTCACTTATCTCAAATAAATAAAATCTTAAAAAAATAAAAAGGTAAACATACTCCCACACTGCCAATAGTGAACCTGAATGTAAACTATGGAATCTGGGTGAGAATGTGTACCCATGCAGGTACTTCCATTACAACCAATGTACAGGATGCTGATAGTGGAGGTTGTGTGGGGGTGGCTGGAGGGGAAGGTGTTCATGGGAACTCTCTGCACTAGCTGTTTGATTTTGCTGTTAACCTAAAACTGCTCTAAAAACTGAAGTCCATTTAAAAGAAAAAGTTGAGGTGGAGACCAGATTAGGTACACCTTTTCTCCAGGAGCCTACTAGGACTGACCTCACCAGCCTGACCGCCCCCTCCCCTGGAGCCACTGCAACACTTATGGACTCTTGCTTACATCGTTCTACTTCATGTGGTATTTCCCATGTGAATCTTCTCTTAAAATAAATTAAGAACAGAAAAGAGAATTTAGACCTTGCAGATAATCTAATCCCACTTCCTTATTTCACAGATGAGGACATGGAAGTCAAGAGAAAGAAAATGTCCAAGTTAGAGGTCTGGGACCTAGGGTCTGGACTCCAGCTCCAGTGCTCCCTCCTTTGTAGCTGACTGCCTTCATGACACAGTACTGGAAGTGACTATGCCCAGGAGACAAAGAGCATTCTATTAACCTTTCTTGATTCTCTGGGCTTCTCCACCCCATTCCACTGTTTCTCTCTTCTTTTTCCCAGGGAAAAGCCATCACTTAGTACCTGTGGAAGTCAGCCAGGTGTTCTGAATCAATATAATCATCCAAATTCAGGGTCAAATCTGATACCTGCTGTGACCCACTTTCCTAGAAAAATGAAAACAGAAAACGAGAAACTGGGGATATTTCTGGACTAATGGGAGAATAACAAATATTCAAGTTAAAGAACTATACATGCACAAAGAAATGTCTATAATATGCAAAATACCCTTTTTTTTTAAGATTTAATTTTATTATGTTAGTCACCATACACCATTACTTTTTGATGTAGTGTTCTGTGATTCATTATTTGCGTAACACCCATTGCTCCATGCAATACATGCCCTCTTTAATACCCATCACTGGGCTAACCCATCCCCCCACCCCCCTCCCCTCTAAA